AACTTAGGTTTTTGTTAGAAGGGCAATTTGGTCAAGTGTGTTTGGCACCTGCCAGGAGTCAGATACGCACAAGGTTCGGCGCAGATTTCAAAGTGGAATTTGGGTCGGGTCCTGTCAATTAGAATATCAAAACATAGGCATGCCTAGTTTGCCATTGGTCTTTGGGAATGTTTCCTTGGTTGAAGAAATATTCCTTTGCCCTCTCTTCTTTTCCTAGGAACTTGTTAGCTTGGGAGACCACACTCTTGGTCTTAGAAATGTTTCCTTGAAACTTGATAAGGCATGCTTAACCCTTTTATGGGACAAACCAACACTCACATGCATGTCACACACACACACACACACACTTCACATGGCCTGCCCCACCTTGGAATCCTCTTGGGTTCCTCATGCAATTATATTATTTATTTTGGACTTCTATGCAATTACTTTACTTTGCAGTTTGGTCCTCAAGTCTTTAATTAATTGCATACTTACCCCACGTTTTGAACTAGGCCCATATACTAAAAACCTAAAATGTTTAAGTTGCATTCTAAAGTTTAATTATTTTAATTTGATTAAAGTAGTTGAAAGGATAATTATGGACTAAGGACCAAATTGCAATCGAACTATGTGATTCGGCAAGTATCAATTTGATTGAACCTTAGGATGTGATTTATTCATTTATTGGGCTTGTAATTAATAAGGTTTAACTCTTTTGTTAAAGAGGCTTGCATGTCTCTCTTTTTCTGTTCTTATGTAATTGTTAAAAGGCTGGCATGCCTTTGCTTTTCATATGATGTAGAGAAGAAGAAGAAAGAAGAAGATGAAGTCCAAGCCTCAAGTTAGATGGGCCTCAAGCCCAATTAGGATTGCATGTTTAATTAGTTAAACGCGTAATTAAAATGAATCACCCTCCCGAGACCAAGATCCATAATTTGGCTCATGTTGGATCAAATATTAAAAGTCCATAATCATCCTAAGGGCCTAAGATAACTATATGTCCAAAATTCGAGAATGCAAAATTTTAATTAGTAGTAATAAATACTCCTTGTCCAAAAAAGGGAGTATCATATGCTACTAATAATTGGACCAATAGTTATGATATGACCAATTTAATTTTAATGAGATTGAAATGAATGTTGTATGATGAGATCTAAAACTCCCTCAACTAATAATAATATTAAGTTGATAAACGGAGAGGTATTTTGAATATCTTTTCGTGGCCTTCCACCATTGTGGGCCCTCATCGATTATAACTAATACACCGTGCTTCACCCCAATATGAGGAACACAAAGTATGTGTTTATTTTTGAAAGGGCTCATTTCAAAACATTTGATATTGTGAATATAGGCAACGAGTAAGGCCAATATTCTATTATGATAAGGTCTTACTTGAACCCCTACACTCACGGGAATTGTGGGCATGACTTAACTAGTACAATGGTACCTCACGATAACATTTGGGGGTGCACGTTTGCTAGAGGCCAAAGTGATGGGTAATCATATCATGCTCTGAATGGGTAAGAATACTCTCTCTTCACCATTCAAGCAAACCAATATTCTATTATGATTTGGAAAGCTTAATGGTGGTGAGCCTCCCATCCCCACTAAGAGTTGAAACTAAAACTCTCGGATTCCATTTGAGGGATATGGAATTTGCCAAAAATAGTGGGGTAGATGTCATTTGATTTAAAAGACACAAATCATTGGTTGTCTAAAAGTAATCTAATTTAAATTTCTATAAGTTATGTAGATATTTCTGGAAACGCACTCGCCAAAATTCTTGACAAACATTGCCTTGAGGGGCACAATTTCCCGAAATGGTTTCAAAATCTCAAGATCGTTTTGATTAGTGAGAAAATTGCATATGTGCTTGATATGCCGTTCCCTCATCAACCTCCTGGTGATAATGTCACTGAGGAGGAACGTGCTCAATATGTTAAGCACATACAAGACGACACACAAGCTAAATGCTACATCCTTGCTTCCATGAACTCTGAGCTTCAAAAGCAATATGAGCACATGGATGCTGCAATTGATATCATCCTTCATCTGCAAGAGCTGTATGGTGAGGGTACTCGTAATAGACGGTTCAGTGCTGTTTATAAGCTTGTGAATACCAAGATGGTCAAGAGAGCAAAAGTCCACTAGCATGGGCTGAAGATGATTGGACTTATTGAGCAGTTGGAGAACTTAGGTACTCCACTAGATGGGGAATTGGCCCAAGACTTTATCCTTGCATCCCTCTCAAACTAGTTCTCCTAATTTGTTATGAACTACAACATGGGAAAAATGGACAAAACTCTTGCTGAGTTGTTGCACATGCTGGTCACAACTTAAAAGAATTTCAAAAGGGAAAGTGGGAGTGGGACTATGGCTGCCTTCGAGAAAGGCTCTTCTTCCTCTACCAAACCTAAGTCTAAAACCACAGGCAAGGCAAGGGAAAGGAGAAGAAGACTACTGTAGTCGAGCCCAATGGTAAAATCACCAAAAAGAAGGCAAAGGAGCCCAAAGGAATATGCTTTTATTGCAACGAAGATGGGCACTGGAAGAGGAACTGCAATAAATATCTTGCAAGCTTGAACAACAAGAAGAAATATCAATTCTAACAATTAGTTCTTCTACTTGGATATTTGATTTAGGGGCTATCCAACATGTTTGCAATTCTTTGCAGGGACTAGTGGGAAGTAGAAGAGTGAAGAAGGGAGAGATGGTGCTACGTGTTGGAAATGGAACAAGAATATCAGCTAAAGCAATTGGCACCTACCTTCTCAAGCTACCATCAAGAGAGGTTTTGGAACTAATAGCAATTTGTTATGAACTACAACATGGGAAAAATGGACAAAACTCTTGCTGAGTTGCTGCACATGCTGGTCACAACTTAAAAGAATTTCAAAAGGGAAAGTGGGAGTGGGACTATGGCTGCCTTCGAGAAAGGCTCTTCTTCCTCTACCAAACCTAAGTCTAAAACAGAAGGCAATGGCAAGGGAAATGAGAAGAAGACTACTGTAGTCGAGCCCAATGGTAAAATCGCTAAAAAGAAGGCAATGGAGCCCAAAGGAATATGCTTTTACTGCAACGAAGATGGGCACTGGAAGAGGAACTGCAAGAAAATATCTTGCAAGCCTAAACAACAAGAAGAAATATCAGTTCTAACAGTTAGTTCTTCTACTTACATATTTGATTCAGGCGCTAGCCAACATGTTTGCAATTCTTTGCAGGGACTAGTGGGAAGTAGAAGAGTGAAGAAGGGAGAGATGGTGCTACGTGTTGGAAATGGAACAAGAATATCAGCTAAAGCAATTGGCACCTACCTTCTCAAGCTACCATCAAGAGAGGTTTTGGAACTAATAGATTCTCTTTATTTTCCGGCTTGTATTAAGAACTTAATCTCCATCTCTATGCTTTTAAGAGATGGGTACTCAGTCATGTTTGACAAACTAAGTTGTTCTTTATATTTGAATGGATGTGTAATTTGTTATGCTCATATTGTTGATGGCCTCTTTCATTTACAATTGAATGGTAGTGTTAAATGTTTAGAAGGTAATGATGCATCAAGGCCTAAAAGGCCAGGGGACGAGATCAATCCTACTAAAATGTGGCATTTAAAACTTGGGCATATCAACCAAGACAAAATTCACAAGACGGCCAAAGATGGATATCTTGGATTGTTGGGTTCAGAATCGATGCCTACTTGTGAGTGTTGTCTAAAGGGTAAGATGTCTAGGTCTCCTTTCTCTGGCAAAGGGGAAAAGTGATCCAAAAGGATCTACCAACAAAAATAAACATAATATAATATAATTTTAATTAATTTTATTATATTATTAAATTATTTAAAACCATAAAAACTAATGGTTTATAACAAATTGTTATAAATCATATAATGTGCAAAAGATAAAATTTGTGAGTTTGAAACTTTCAAGCCATGCCCTTACATGGTGGAAGTCCTATCGGAAACGGTATGATGTCTTAGAATTGACTTGGAAGAACTTTAAGACACTTTTGAGAAAACAATTTTATCCAGTTGGCTATGAAGATGAAAGATGGTATAAGTGGCAACACTTCAGACAAAGATTTGGGCAGCCTGTATAAGAGTATACAACAAAGTACCACAACCAAGCTATGGTCCTACACATCGACATCGACGACTACGATGTTTTCATGAAGTATACCGGAGGTCTTGCTAACTACATATGGAAAGAACTAAAATTGTTCACCGTAGCTACTGTGAAGGCCATCGCCATTGAGACGAAAAATAAAAGAACTAACAAGAAGGATGACAAATCAAAACTTGTCAACAAAACTCATTGACAAAAAAAGGGGAAGTAGAGCAAGGAAGGTCAGACACAGAAGGTCTACTGTGATTACTATCAAACTAGCAGACATGCCAAAGACAAGTGCTGGATACTGCATCCTGAGTTGCGGCCAAAGCCCGAGAAAAACAACCAGGGGAGAAATGACAGAAAAACCACCGTAACTACACAATAGGCAGAAGAGCTTCCAGAGTTGAAGCAACCTGATGTTACACTTACCCTTATGACAAGACCAGAATATAATGCAGACACGTACAACCATGAAGAGTTGTTTCATGTGAATATTCAGGTGAGCAAAGTGTTGTACAAGCTATCATTGACCTTGGAAGTTAGAAAAACTTGATTTCAGAGGCTTTAGTAAGAAAAGTGAGTTTAGACACCACACCACATCCTAAGCTGTACCCGCTGGGATGGATTCAGAAGGACGTTGACTTACAGATCACAAAGCAATGTACCTTCAAATTTGCTATCACCAATCGATTTATTGATAAGGTGACATGTGAGGTGGTTCCTTTGGACGTTTTCCAAGTTATATTAGGCAGTCAATATTTATGGGACCGAGAAGCCATTCACTAGGCTTCGCAACTATCGACTTGTGAAGGATGGGAAGGAGTTCCATATTAACGCTTGCAAGCCTCAAACTACAGATAATTTGCTGATAGCTAACCAAGCCAAAAGGTTAGTCAATTCATGTCGGTGATTCGTTTTGTTGATGATTCGATCACAAGATCAGAGTTGTGGAGCTGTGACGTTGTCTACTTTGTCTTTATATCTTACGCAATGCTCAAACATAGGGAAATTGCAGGAGAAGTTCAAGGAATTATTTCAGAATGTGCATGGTTTGCCACCGAGTAGAGCTATGGAGCATGATATCCCGTTGGTAGGAGATTCACCTATACCAAACTTGGGTTTGTATCGCACTTCTCTAACGGAATCTGACGAGATCAAGAAGCAAATTTAGGGACTTCTTGAACAAGGAGTCATCAAACCTAGCTACTCACCATGTGGTTCACCAGTGTTACTTGTGCCTAAGAAAGACGAAGGATGGCGTATGTGTGTAGATTATAGGGCACTCAACAAAATAACCATCAAGAATCGGTATCCATTGTCGAGGATTGATGACTTGTTAGATCAATTACATGGTCCTCGTTACTTTATGAAGCTAAATCTCAAATCCGGCTATCACCAAGTTCGCATCCAAGAAGAAGACACTTGTAAGACTACTTTCAAGATAAAACAGGGACTCTTCAAGTGGTTAGTCATGTCATTCGGGTTATGTAATGCTCCAGCTACCTTCATGCCATTGATGAATGAGGTACTCCGTCCTTTCATTGACGACTTCGTCATTGTATACTTAGATGACATTCTCATATTTAGTGTCACATGGGAGGACCATCTTCATCATATTGCTCAAGTTTTGGAGGTTCTACGAACAAATCAATTACAGTTAAACGATAAGAAGTGTGAATTTGGGAAACAACACCTTGCATACCTGGGATTCATTGTTGGTGCAGGATAACTGAAAATGGACCTAGAGAAAGTACATGTGATTCCTCAATGGCCTACGCCCCGTTCAATAACTGAAGGTCGGAGCTTTATAGGTGCATGTCAAAGTTTATTCAGCACTTTTCACAAATTGTAGCACCCTTACATTCTCTTACAAAGACCAATCAAAAGTTTGAATGGTCGAGAAACCATGAAGAATCTTTCCAGTTGTTGAAACGAAAGATTACAGCGGCCCTAGTACTAGCATTACCAAATCTGCATAAACCATTTGAAGTGGAAGCAGATGCATCGAACTATGCCATGTGAGCCGTATTATTTCAGGATGGGAAACCAGTTGCATACCATTCTGAGATGTTTAGTGGATTGGTATTGAACTACCCAACTTATGACAAGGAGCTGTATGCAATGCATATATCAAGCAGTGAAGCATTGGAGAGCTTACTTGTTGGGAAAAGAAGTCATAGTTCACTCATATCATAAACCTCTTCAGTGTTTAACTACACAGTCTAAGTTACAGCAAGCTTGACATATGAAATGGATGTCTTACCTACAACAATTCAATATTGTGATATAGAACAAGAAGGGAGCAACTAATAAGTTGGCAAATATGTCATCTAGACCACCTACACCAGTTAGTTCCACATTGCTGGTGGATATGCAAATCCAACCCATTGTTCCTTCTAAATATGCCAAAGGGTATGACACAGATGCTGATTTCAACTCAGCCTCTGCCAAGCTGCTACAACGAAAGACTAGTGAGTTCCAATTGAAGGATGGACTAATGTACAAGGGAACACAATTGTGCACTCCAAAAGATGGCAACAGATTGCAGTGGATTCGTGAGGCTCATACTTCCAACGTAGCAGGGCATTTTGGAGTTGAGAAGACTTTATTGAATCTTCGTCGCTATGTTTATTGGCCAAAGAAGCATCTCGATGTTTCACGATACATTCGAGGTTGTGTTCTATGCAACACATCGAAGCCTTCCAATAAAAAGTTAGGACTGTATCTTCCATTACCAACACCTAGCATACCTTGGTAGAGTATCTCGCTAGATTTCTTAGGTGGATTGCCTAAAACCAAGTCTGGAAATGACTACTTCTTTGTGGTGGTAGATCGTTTCAGTAAGATGGTGATTCTCATTCCATGCAAGATGACCGGTACTGGAGAAGGAGCTGCTAAGTTATTTTTCCAACATGTTTCGAAGCATTTTGGCTTACCTACATCGATTATTTCTGATAGAGACATTTGATTCTTAGGCTATTTCTTGAGGTCATTATTAGGAATGATGGATACCAAATTGAAAAGAAGCACTGCATTTCATCCATAGAC